GGCAAAGTGGGTTTCATTTGACTCACAATTACTACTTACATGCAGTTTGAGCAGAACTATTCCACCAAGTGGACATTTAGGTCCTGTGGGCTGTCATTAATTACATGTAATTAATTTAATAACATACTTACTTTGTATGTCTCAGCAGCCAAAATGAATCTGTTGAATCAGACTGCCCATTCCTTAATGGTTTCATTTTGGGCGCAGTAATGTTAAATTAAAATGCTACAGAAGTCCCTTTGAAAACATTTACGATAATGTTTTGTCATCTCAATAGCATTTGAACAACAAACAAAATGCCCAGTGAGAAAATTTACAGCTATTGCAGTTCCTGCAATTTCTCAGAAAGGCAAAGAGAACATAGTCCCCTGATAGAGGAAAGATAGACTTATCCTTATATGCCAATGGACCATATCCTAAGACAGTGTTTCTCAATCTCAGTGACATTAAGATGTATGGATTTCAACTCCCAAATCTCTAGCTCTCATGGCTGGCTGGGGAACTCTGGGATCTGAAGTACATACTTCTTAGTTGTTGAAACTGAGAAACGCTAAGGCAGCCTTTCCTAACCATGGACACTCTCCTTGTGTGTGAACTTCAGCTTCAATGACCATGCTGGCTGGGAGTTCTGGTAGATGTTCCCAAACATCTGGTAGGCATGGAAGATTGCCCTAATTTTAAGAGATTCTTATGCTCTGAATTCCTTTTTTCCTATTTGTGGAATAAGACAATAGGGATTTAGTTTTTGTCAGCTTACCAGATCTGTGTCTAGACTAGATGTTAATGCAAACTATAATAGTAGATGAAAATTTAAACATGAGACTTTCTAATCTGTGAATAAAAAACTGCCTCTGTTAGAATCTACATTTCTATATCCATCTTATTAGAGGTACAGCTGTCTATCTTATTTCCATATTTTTCTATATTTCCCTATATATTTTACAGAAACTTACAACTTTTTAATATTTATGAACTATTATATCTTTACTTTTTAAACTTGTTTTATATTTCTTTTAAATTTTATAATTATTCACATTTCCTGTTCGTATGAATGATTTTTAAGTTTTAATTATTTATTCAAATGTGAATAGACTTTAGAAAACTGCAAAAGTTTCCTTAGCTGTTCTAAAAACAGGCAACATCTACCATTTTCTATTGGCAGCAAGGACAGAGCTGTGTGACCTTTACATTCTCCTATTCCATCATTCTGGAGCACTGAAGATTTTGGAGTGCAGCATTATATCAGAATAGCTACCTTAAGGAACTGGCAAAGGATCAGGCAACAGCTGGGATTGTTTTATTTTATTTATTTATTTGATTTGTCAATCGCTTACAAGATAATAGGAATAAGAATAAACATGAATAAGAATACAGGAAATAGGTATGAATAAATGGGGACAATAGGACAGGGACAGTAGGCATGATTGTATAATTATGCACGCCCCTTACAGAACTCTTAGGAATGGGATGAGGTCAATAATGGATAGTTTAAGGTTAAAGGAGTGGGAGTTAGAGGATGTAACAACAGAGTCAGGTAGTGCATTTCAGGCATTGACCACTCTGTTGCTGAAGCCATACTTTCTGCAATCAAGTTTGGAGCGATTTACATTGAGTTTGTATCTGTTGTGTGCTCTTGTATTGTTGCAGTTGAAGCTGAAGTAGTCATTGACTGGTAGGACATTGTAGCAGATAATTTTGTAAACTACATTTAAGTCCAATCGTAGGCGGCGTAGTTCTAGGTTGTCCAAGCCCAAAATGTCAAGCCTGGTGATGTGTGGTATTCTGTATGTATGTATGTATTTATGTATGTATGTATGTATGTATGTATGTATGTATGTATGTATGTATGTATGAATATGTTATTCTGTTGCGACCATTGTATTTCAGTATCTCTAAGAAGATAGTTTGTTGTTGCTTTCAGTTAATCAATGTCAAATCCCCAAGAACTAAGAATAAAATCTGGAGTTACTTAAGAGTAGTTTCCTTTATTGTTCTTCATCTATAGACAGATTCTTACCAGATTAAAGCAATTATTAGCATAACTACAAATAGGCAATATAGTCATACCTTGGTACTTGACTGCTTTGAAACTTGTCACATTTGGTACTTGACACATTTTGACAAGAAAATTTTGTCCCAGTACTTGTCATTTGTTTGGTTCTCGATGTGCAAGCTAAAACTTGTCAATGCCGGTTACCTCATGACTTTTCCAGATGAAACGTAGGGTCACTCTTGCCCTGTGCATATCCCTTTTCCATCTTATCTTAGCTTTTGGTCATTTTTTGTATTTTTGTGCTTTTTTTCCCTCATCAGTAAGGTAAAGTAAAGTATGTAAAAAACTGATAAGTCATCAGTGAAAATATCTTGCCACCTTATCTTTTATCAGCCACTTTTTCGGTTTATTTTTGTTTCATGCATCAGCAATTCTCTAATGACTCTTGCCTTGACATAATGTGTCTAAAATAACAACTGTAAATTCATGATCAGCATTTTCTAGTTCAGCCTTTCTGATTGTCTAGTGTTCACAATCTATAAAACTGATGATTTGGCCACATCTTATTCTTTGCATGTCCTGAGAATTACCTCAGTGGAAGACAACTTGTTTTTTTGATATCAGGCAAATAAATAGATGCTAGCCTGGTTAGAAGTTTGTATTCAATTTGGGCTGGAACTGAGAGAAGAAGGAAGATCGCCATCTTTTTATTAAGTGTTTTTATTCCATTTCTGAATCAAGTACTTTGTCAGCCCTGGATCCATCTTGAATCAGATTTGGGGCTGCCACAAGGGAAGATGGGTAACCGTGGAAATGAAAGTAAAGCAAGAAGGGAGGTAACCAACACAACAACATTCTTTAGTCAGAGCTCAAGGCTGAGTCGCTGGAGTTTGGAGGGGAGTGACTGGACTTGGCAGGAGTTCAGAATGGAGATGGATTGGAGAGTGTGACTTGTGGGTCATCAGTAAGGGAGGGGTAGATGTGCGTTTAATATACCAGGGGAAAACGTGGGATTTCAGATTCAGGTTTTCCCAGATGTGCCAATATGACTTCTCTAATAAATTCTTACTTGGATGGACTTTGTTTCTGAGAGCTGAACTGAGATGGAGAGTTTGGTTGGAATGCTGACATACTTTCTGCATCATGCTAGGCATTACTTTATATTATATATTTAAATGTTCTCTACTATCTTGATGTGCATTTCTTTTTTCATTCATAAAATGTATAATCTGGCTTTTGCTGTCATTGTTTTCTAGCATAATTTGCTAGAAAATATTTATTCATATATACATAAATGGAATTTTTAAACATACACTACTTTGGATGGATGTGTGGAAGGAACCACTGCTTGGTAATTGTAACAATATTTGCAGTTTAATAGTCTGAAGAATTAAATTTGAAAGACAAGGAAGTCTCAAGGCACTTAGTAGCTGAGATGAAGAACAGGATGGCATTTCTGGCAAAAATTGTGGTCCCAAAATTATAAAATGACAATGTCAACTGCATATAAAGAAAATTTGTATAAGATGTTTTACAGGTGACACCTACCCCTGACGAGAATTGCGAGAATGTTTAAGAACAAATTGGATAAATGTTGGAAATGTCATCAGATACCTGGTTCATATTACCATGTGTAGTGGACATGCTCGAAGGCAAAAAGATATTGGACTAAAATTCACACATAGTTGGAAAAAAATGCTAAAACAACACATAGACTTTAAACCAGAGATTTTTTTTATTGGGAATTATACTGGAAATATACAATAAAGAACTGAAATATTTGATTGTAAATGTTTTAACAGTGGCTAGAATTGTATTTGCTAAGAATTGGAAAAATGAAAAAATACCTATGCAGGAGGAAGTTATTAAGAAAATTATGGACTGTGCTGAAATGAGTAAATTGACATTTGAAATTAGAGAGCAAGAAGATAAACAATTTTATATGATATGGGATTTGTTTTAGCAATGGTTGGACAAAAAGACATGGTAATGTAATAGATTAGATAATTTTGTAATAGAAGTTCAATAGATTGATATAAAATATAATATAGAAATATAGAACCATTGGATGAAAGTACAATATAAATTTTAAAATAAAATTTGGAATATCTCATATAAAATGATGGAATAAATAGTTTAGTCATGGATGATTAATAACTGATAAATATATAAGCATATGTTACTTTGACAATGTGAAAAATTATATAAATTGTGAGTAGTGACTACAAAAGGATAGCACAAAAGATTTCTAACCAACTGACACACTGTATGTATATAAAATGGAAGATGATTTTATGTTTTGTTTGCATACGTTTGTCTTAAAAAATAAAAACTTTTATATAAAAAAAGAACAGGATGACATTTATCCTATTCTTACAACAGTAGATGGGACTGTAATTTTAACTTAAATTGACTTGATGAAAGGACACCCATTTGAACACAACAAATTAGTTTAAGGAATGTGGAACTGGCCATTGTGGACCTCACAACTTTGTCATGCAAGAAGGATCCTACCAATTTCTCTACATTACCTGAAAGCAATGACTTAATTTTGCCCATTGGAAAAAAAAGACTTTGGAAAAAAGTCAAAATCTTCCTTAATAATTTGTTATGATCAATAATTTTACGACTATTCCTATGTTGGCTGAATTTGTAAAACTTGTAGTTCCAATTTGATCAAAGCCTTCTGAGAAAGAGATTAAACTATCCAATGAGAAAAGCAGCTTGCAAATAACTACCTGCTCTAACTGTTACAATAGACTATACCAAGAATGTAGCTACTCAGCCATACCATATTACTGTTTTCTTTATTGTTACAGAGTTTCAGGACTTCTGTCTACTACTTGGCATCAATTTTTTTTTCATAAAAACAAGAGGAAGTTACCACAGGTGCTTAAAAACAAGCAAACCACTGATTTATTTAAATACCACCCAGCCAAATATAGAGCATATGTACTTTGGCTAGCTCTTACAAACTGAAAACTCTCTGCTGAATTTCTGATAGAAAATGAAGATTGCTGAGTTGGTAACTGACTTGGCCATGACCAAAAATTGGAGCAGAGACTTGGAATCATCCACTGAAGACTTTTTTGGTTTAGGATTTACCGACGATGACTTCTGCCTTATAGAAAAGCTGCCGTTTGCCTCCGTCTTTATCTCTGTCATCTACTTCACGATTTTTTTCATTGGCTTCTTTGGGAACCTGTTTGTGGTCCTGGTGATGGTGCAGAAACGGGGCAACCAAAGGCTTGTGGACAACTTTGTCCTTAACCTGGCCATTGCAGATCTTGTCTTTGTATGTACTTTGCCTTTCTGGGCTTTGACAGAAGCATTTGATTCCTGGTGGTTTGGTGAAGAGCTTTGCAAATTTAGCAGCTATGCCATTTCTGTGAACCGTTGCTCAAGCATCTTGTTCCTGATGGGCATGAGTGTGGAACGCTTCCTTGTGATGAATAAGCACTGGGATTCCAGATCTCTCGGGACCAAGAGAAATACCAACATTACCTGCGGTTGCATCTGGGTGTTTTCCTTTCTATTAGGAATACCATCTTTGCTCTACAGAAAGCTGATCTCTGTGGGAGACAGGTTTGCATGCCAGGATGTAGACCCTTCTGTCATCTATACTTTCACAGTACTTTGTTTGACTTTCTTGCTACCCTTGGGTGTAATCTTATTCTGCTACTGCTCTATCTTCTCCATGCTCCAGAGTCATGTCAACGTAGGAAGGAAAACAAACCATGCTCTTAAAATCATCTTTGTCATCATTGGGGCATTCATCTGCTGTTGGTTACCTTTTAATACCTTCACAGCTGTCATCACTTACGGTATGGTACAGAACATTGACTTCCCTTGTGAGGCAGTGAAAGCTCTCAGGAGGGGAGTTATTATCAGTGCTTGTCTAGCTTTCACCAACAGCTGCATTAATCCTATCATCTATGCCTTTATGGACCAGCAATTCCGACAGAAGGTATTGAAGAATTTCCTAGGTCTTTGTCACCCAAAGGAAAAAGCACAAAACTCAACATTGTTCTTTTCATCTACAGAATCAAGCCTTCTGTTTGGCAGCAAAAAGAGGTTCATACCAGCCACAACTGTTCCAGTTAGCAGCGGGACTGATTTATATGCCTCTAAAAGACATATATAGTTGCTATTGTTGAGACCATACAGTAGAATTGTTAAGCCAGGTTAGTTATGGAAGAGAGACGAGGGAGATGACTTAGAGGATTGGTTTTCTTGATATGAAAAAATGTTGTTTTGAAAATTTCTGATCAAACTTTGTGGTTTCTAATACAATGTCAAATGAATTTTTTATGATACATTACATATACTCTGTATTTTTATAAAATAAAATTCTGTTTATATAAATTTTTCCTTGGTCTGTAGGATAAAATTGCAGATTTAACACTTGCACAGATTTATAAGAGCTTCTTCAACTACCAAGAGATATTTCATATATGAATAGAGTGACTTGTAATAGTACTTATATACTTTGCTAGAAAATAGATGACTGTATATTTAGTCATAAGCTTACCTGCCTGCCTTAGCTCTTTGTTTAGATATTTTTGGTAGCTTTTGCAATTTGACTATTGATTGATGATTGAAAATGTGTTCAAATAACTATAAAAGGAAATGATGGGTGAGTATCTTTTGATAACAAGAATTCTTTAACACAATAAGCCATGCAAACAAAACGACCACAATCAATAATGAAACAAAGCCTTGTATATTTAATTATGGATGAATATATAATTGAAACTTTTGTCTTCCTGCCTCTAGCTGTTGAAGATGTATATTTTTGTAAAAAAGTGATTCCAATACTTAAATTACTGTAACTTTTCTTGATTTTGATTAAATTTTTAATTACAAAACTCTGGTCTGATTTTTATTCATTAAAACAATGGAAATTGTTTGGAAAGTTTTGAATGCAAAACTTTCAATGAATGTGTAAACTTTAATTATTGCTATCAATATTCAGATTTCATATCAGCTTTTGAAACTGCCTTAATTTTCTTACTCTTTATTTGTGTTGTTTTTCTGGTAGTGAGAAATAACATGAATTGTGAGTCATGAGTTCCGAAAGTACCTAGTTGAAATCTTACTCTACTAAGTACCATTAAGCCAAATTACCTGGGGTTAGTGTACCAAAATAAGGGAGGCACCATAGCGATTTCCCCACTCATGCCCTTAACTTTTCATTATCACACTCAGGTTTTCAGCACTTATTGTGTCTAAATATCTTGTCAGTTAAGTAATGGAAAGGCCAAGTAGCATCATTACTGGATTGTATCTAGGATATCAGTTGGCTTTAATCCAGCCCTGGACATTAGGAAACATTGTATTATCCTTTTTTTCAGTCATACTTCAATTATTTACAAAAAATAATAGGCAATGTGTTGCTCTGTATATATTCCTAACTGGGATTTTCATATGTTTTTACCAATATAGCCAAATGGTTTGAAGTTATGAATTTTATCAACCAAAACATCTGAAATACACTAATTTGCTACATTTATATCACGTTATTTCTCCAAGAAACTCAGCACACATACACCCTTATATTTTCACAACTATATGAATGGAACAGATTATGTGAGTGTGGATGATTGCCTCAAGTCACACAATGAGGCTCATGACTCAGTGGAAATCTCCCCAATCCTAATCGAATATCAATCACTTGCATCATAACACTGGATCTATTTCAAGATACAAGATAAACTGAAATAAAAATAAATGGAAATTGCTATAGAAATCTTTCCCAATTCTTTTGGAAGGATTTTTTTCCTGTACTCTTTTTCCCCCTTTGTCTATCTCAGAATTTGAGAGACATGCTGCATTGTTAACATATTATTAGACTTTATTAATTTATTATTTATTAGACATTAGCACATGCTTCTGAATCTTGGCAACTTTCAGACGTAGACATAGCTGTCTGGGGAATTCTGTGAGTTGAAGTCCATACATCTGAAAAGCTGCCGAAGTTGAGAAACACTGCATTAGCTTGAGCAACCTACACAAACAGGGTGTTTTGTTCCAGACATTTGAATCCACAAACTTAATCAATATCCAATCCTAACTGAAATGAGTTACCATCTCTTAACTTGTGCAACCCATATTACTCTGAGACAACAGGAGAAATATATTGTAATTGTGATGCCCTCATTAAGAAAGCTTTGTCATTGAAACAGGTGAGATTGTATCTTAGTTGAAACTCCCCTCGTAAATTACACTACATAACACTTAAATAATTAGTACTATGGATGGTCTTGGCTAAGATGTGCTACTCCCAGACAGTTTCCCTAAATGTGAAATTGAGAATGCCTAATTTTATGAGTTGATATGAGAGATTATACAGAGTCAAGACTTTCACAAGCCTGTCTGAAATTAGGACATTATTTTCAGGAATTTCAGCAGCATCCCCTTTATCCTGACATCAAAGTACAGGAAGATATCTGTAAATTTGAAAGTGAAAAAAAATCACATGCCAACATGAGAGGGATGTGAATAAGTTTGGAGTGAGGTCTACTGTAGAGACTATAGATAAAGTATTGTATCTCGTCTAATTGTTTGCTAACAAATTACTAAACTTCCACAAAGGAACCTTTGGACTTTTTATTGGGAAAAGAGTAGACCCATTTTATTCTGGGAAAGGAGAAGACCCAATGACATTTAATCAAAATTCTAGGGTCCTCCCCCCACCCCCATTTTCATTACTGACTAGTAATGATCTAAAGAAACCATAAGTTGAGAAGCCACAGTAAGATTATTTGTTAAGTCCTATGTGACTCACTGTGGCCCTTACATCTGCCTTTCTATGGTCCTAGCCAGCTTGCTGATTAGTGGAATATGTGGGAAATTTTGTGAGCAGGAAAGAGCAGTGAAAGATTAATGGAGGAATTCCTAACAGCTCTGTTCCCTTTACTGTTCTAGCGAAAACATAGCAGTTTCAACTTTTTATCAAGAAAGGAGAATCATCAACTTTTCTTTTCCTCATAGGGATCATGATAGTATATATGTCATCTTTAATGCCAAACACGCACTATGATTTCTAGTTCAATTTTTCTGGATTTCACAGCACACTCAAACAACTAAAAAAAATCCTTTTATTATATTCTCTTTAACACTCTTAGGTTGCAGAAAGATGATATTACCACAATGCAGATGATTATGCAGAAAAAGCATAATTGATCTAAATTAATTTTCTTTTGCAAGTTATGAGGGGATATGGGTTTCCATTCAGTGTTATTAAAAGCATGGGCATTTACTATTAATATCCCTCTGCATGACTTATGACAAACTGATTAATTTCAGAAGCATAGTATCCTCCATTTTTAAAATGTTATTTGTATCCCGCCTTTATTATTTTTACAAGTAACTCAACATGGTGAATGTATCCTACACACCTTCCTCCTTCTATTTTCCTCACAACAGCCCTGTGACGTGAGTTGGGCTGAGAGAGAGTAAGTGGCCCAAAGTCATCCAGCTGGCCTTCATAGCCAAGGCAGGACTAGAATTCAGTCTCCTGGTTTTTAGCCTGATGCTTTAACCACTAGACCAAACCGGCTCTCATTTTCTCCACTGCCTTTTGTATTTTTTTTAATTCCTGAGTTTTGGAACCCTTAGCAATTTTATTAGGCAATCTGATGATAGTCCTTTTATTACCCTGGTAGATTTTGATTATAAATGATTTTTTATATCTTTAGTGATATTTTAGCAGATGTAGATACCTATGCTAGTGTGTTGTCACATCTTATACGGGTGATTCAACATTTTGGCAAGTATTCTGGAAATTTGTTTTATTTGCCTTATCCTGTGAAATTTGAATAACCAATTGAAAGATGTAAGTGTTGTAATTGTTACTTAATAATATTAAGTATTCTAGGACTTTATATAGGGAAGAAATACACTACAGGTTTTAGAAAATGTGCTCTGAGATACTTACTAGAATTAATTAGAGTAGAATACTACTGAAATATGATTAGGGGAACTTGAAACTATTAATGCTGCAAGTAGATAAGAAAACTAAAAAGAAAATATGATGCAAGGGAGCAGGGAGCTTTTTTCTTAAAGGAATTCTGCTATTTATTGAATATTATTTGCAGGTTATTTGATGAGAGTTTTGGAAAAGTATATACTTGGAATCAATTTTGTGTTGTGTTAAAGGAAATTGGGTAACAGGGAGGCTAAAAACATTTACTTTGTGGTTTGTAGATACTCTGAAATTATAGCAGTCAGAAAGACAATAAGACAATTCTTGTACCATTACCAATTAATCAATATTTATATTGGGAATTTTACTAATTCAGAGAATTGCTCTGTACCTAAATCGACCTGAAGCTCTAGTTAGTAGGGGTTGCTTGACAGAATCGTTTCTTAAAGAGCCTGAACTTTGACTTAAGATGTATTAATTTATTTTTAAAATGTAAAAGCTGCTTTTAAAAAAATCCCACCACCTCCAAAGCAGCATGCATTTAATACCCGCGATATTTTAATTTGTTCTTCAGAAGACTAATACGTGGTGAGACAAAATTCCCAACTTCAAAAATGTACTTTAAATTCGAATATGTATTTTGCCTAACGGGGCACACTCCCGATCCCAGGACGCCCAGCCAGCAAAAGGAAAGCCTATCGAAGAAGCCCAGTTTTTCCATAAAGATGAATCGAAGGGGAAAAACATTTTCTGAATTTAAGAAGTCGCGGTCCTTTTATCACGGCAGTCCCCGATAGCTGCTCTCTTAGCCGCTTCGCATAACCAAAAAGAGCGATCAAAGGATTGGCGTTCGCCAATTATTTCCGTCGTATGCAATGTATTTTCATTGATATAAAGGTTGGATTCTGCTCCGGCAGAGGCGTCTCCCCGCCACCCCGTTCTCTGACGCCAGGTTGTCCCAGACCCCGGCAACGTCCGCACCTCAGTCGGGAAAGTTTTGCGAAAGTTGCGCAAAAATAGTGGGCTAACGCGTCCGTGAATTCGGCACACGCAGCGCCAGGGCGGGAAGATATCGGTGGACCCAACAAAGAAGGCGCTAGTGGACCGAAGAGAGAGGGGATACGGGGTCCAGTATCTCCCGTCCCTCCAGGCGCCTGAGGCGTTGACGCCGAAATTGCTTCTGCCTCAAAATTCTCAAAGCTCAGTGTGCTAACAATGTTTATTACGAAGTAAGGAGCACGGATTTTACTTTACTTGCAAGCTTGAAGTGCAACCTCGTGGGTTCCCCCACTCTCCCGCACGTAAAGCTGCATTTCGTAAAGGGTAAAAAATAGTAAAGAACAAAGAAAGGAAATATTCCAAAATGAAAAATATTACATTAAGTCATAT